TAATTCTTGGGAGTCTTTTTTAGAATTTTAAGATACTTAAGATATAACAATTTAATAACTCTATTATATAAAGTTGTTTTGACACATTTTGGAGATTTAAGTAGTTAGACTTTTGAGATTTTAGGTTTAGATTTTAGCATTTTAAATGTTTTTCTAGTTAAGTTTGATTATATGTTGAGCAATTAATTTAAGTTATTTTAGTTAAATTTTATGTTATTTTAGTTTAAATTACTTTAAGAGTAGTTATTGTTGGTTTCTTGTATTACATTTGTAAGAAATTTGATGAAAAGAGCTCATTTGATGAAAATACGTACAAGGATGATGATAGTTTCATTCGTATATATTTTAATATTTTGATCATATCTTTCTCTACAGAACTCCAAATGAAGTTATTCTTAGACCACTAGAACTCTAAGATAAAGAGCTACATCTTTTATATTTACCACTTATCCAGTTCTGAATGGATCATAGTCAAAATATTTGTCGAAATAGAAGCACTACAATAATATACATGGACTGAACATAATGTGGTATTTGGAGCATATCTTTTGATATAGAAATCTAATTGATGTGATTCTTTTGCAAAAGAGCATGATCCTAGCCAAGGAGTTATCTAGATTGCACCAATGGGAATTAAAGCAATATACAAATGTGACTTGGAATAAGTGTTAGTTAATTGAGTGCTCAGGCAAAAGAACTATATGTCAAAGTACCAATATTTAGTGAAATGGAAATGGTTTCCAAAGAGTAAGGTAAGTTGAGAGTTAACAGAGGAACGATGGCTGTTCCAAGACTACATAAAGCTCTTTTACAAAGCAACAAGGGCATTGCCAAAATGAGTTCGGGAAAATGTCACTACTCATGGGTTCAAGTCATACGAGTTGTCGAACCAACCTCGAAAGCTGTCGAAGGTTCTGGAAAAGGTGCGAAAGTTGCTGGACCAATTACCAGCCTTACACAGACAAGCACACAACCCAGACAACCTTGGTGTGCAAGTAGATAGCCTAGACAGTTTTGGTAGGCAAGTAGACAACCTAGGCTAGCAAACTAGCAACTTAGGGAACCTAGACAACCAATGGGCCAACAGCATAAACTACCTAAAAAGCCCAGACAACCTAGGCAATCTAAACAGTCCAACAACTATTAGGCCAGTAAGCCCAATTAGATGTCTAGCCCATGTTCAAAAGGATTTTATTCTTATTTGAACCCTTATAAATTCTGAGTCAATTATAAATAGATTCACTTAGATTTTATTTGATTTAATTAGGATTTTGTTTGAATTAGACTAGGCCTTTTCAACTTTAAATTTCACATTTCATAGATCCTAATCCTATCCAATAAGGGGGGCTATCAACTTATAAATAGGCCTTCTCTTCATTTCTATTCACACCAAAGAAATCATAAAGCATTTCATTTCTCTAAGCTTTTTCCCTTCTTTTTACTTTCTTGCATTTTTGCTTTTATGAGGGGTTTTAAGCTTACTTAAACTCTTATTTTCAGAGTTTAAAATTACATGAGGTTTGACTAAAGTTTGACATGTGACACTATCACTAGGCAAGCATTTTGCATGCCTCCCTAGTCACTAGTCAATACTACAATAACAGTAATTTTTTTTAAAATGCCCACCTCTCTAATCACTAGTTAGCACTACAATAAGAGTAAGGAGTTCTTTTTTTAAATAAGCCCCATGTATAAGGCGTTTCTGACGATCGACTTCTTTATAATTTTAACTATTTTTAACCAAGAGAATTAAAATTTGGATAAAATTACTTTTAATGAAACCGACCTATTTATTTGGCTCCGTGCCTCAACTCGAAACCTATTAATAGGTCAAGTATATTTAGATCTACATTTCAAATCAACTCATATTCTTTGAGCTTTCTTTGTCAAACTATTTATCTCTGGAGTATTCCTTACCAGAAAGAAAAATATTAAAGCATTTTAAGCATTTTGGAGTAGTTTTTGATATACGAAGAAAACTTTTGAGCATTTTTAAGCATTTTAGAATAATTTTTGATATATGAACAAAAAATTTTGAACATTTTGAGCATTCTTTGTCAAGTAGGCATATTCGTTAATTATATTGTAAAATGAAATATGGTATATCATTTGAAGTTGATCTTATTAAATGAAATTTAGTAATTTTGATAGTTTTTGGGCATTGCGTGACTAATTTTTAAGTATTGCATAACTTACTTTGTACATTGTGTGACGACTTTGGGCATTGTGTGACTTATTTTTAGGTATTGCGTGACTAGTTGGTAGGCATTGCGTGACTTATTAGTAAGCTATTGCATGACTAGTTAATAAGGTATTGCGTGACTAGTTAGTAAGGTATTGTGTAACTTAGGTATTGCTTAAAAATCAATCACACAATGCTTATAACCAATCATGTAAGGCCTAAAAACCAGTCACACAGTAATTAAGTCACACAATGCTTAAAAACTAATCTCATAATACTTAAAATCTAGTCTAATCAATTTCAATTCCTCAACTTTGGGGTTCTATAGTTTTATGAATAACCCAATAAACTCAAGAACTTAAAACACATCTTTTTTTTTTTTTGCTAAGCCATGAAATTGTGCATTTAATAAAAGATAGGTTACAAAACTTCATAATCCTTCAAAGCAAGACAAAATATATCTCTACCGGGAGGGTTTTGTTCACTTCTTTTATGCAAAAACAAAATATACTCCCTTTACAAATATTCTCTGAATGATTTCAACTCAAAATCTTCAACAACCATACTTAACAATCATCCCAATCTTAGACACAACAAAATCGTGAACCACCATAAAACCCATCAAACATGCTTTAGCTATCCCTTTTCCCTAAGCCCTTGAAAACATCACCAGAAGGCATCCAGTTACCACATTCATTATACTACCTGCAATCACCATAGAAGAGCAAAATCGTTGCTTATCACCCTTGAAAACTTTAAGATCCACCATAAAAATAACATAAAATAAGAAAGCGCTTGATGTCATCTTTGCTTTTTAGATATCGAAATAAATAGTATTTAACAAGAGAAAGAAATAGAGATTTAATTTTGAAATTTTTGTCTGAATGGCGATATAGAAAAAACTGAAACTATTTTAAATGTCTGAAATTGTTTAAAGAGTATTATTGTCAAGTCGTGCTAAAAATTGGTTTAAAATAGTTAAAATTATATAAAAAAAAGATATTTTTGAATTGGGCTTATGAGGAAGGTTCTTTCTCACAAATTCTCCTAAGAGTAATTCTTTTTTTTGAAAGGCAATAGGAGTAACTAATTTGACAGAAATAACAAATTAGATTGAGTGTCACGGTAGGGTATTGTTCATTTTGACCTCATTGGGTTACAAGCTAAAGATAGTGTAAACATTTATGTCTAATCTCACTCTAGTCAATGTGGAATTTATAAGTTATTTATGAGATTAAGACATCTTCCCTTAATGTGAGATTAATAAGGTTTTACTGAGACCTTGACACTAAGTCTGTTTGAGTTATTTTGTTGTCAATGGCTAGCTACTTAAAATTGGTCCGTGCAGGGACCAGCGCATGTTAGGTACCAAAAAGGGGAGCCACCCATCATGATCTCCTTTTTTGCGCAGTGTTGTGCCCCAAACAAAATAAATTCTCTTATTTTTTCTTTGCCGGCCATATGCATCTCTTAGGTGCTAAGGAAGGAATTTCAGCCATTCGATAGTCAATAGTCAGCCCAAAATACCAAAAACTCACGTATCCAATTAAGCACTATTTTTCTCTAAGCAATACCGCCTTCCATAAAGCAATATTCTCTTCCATTTCACCGCCAATAAAGCAAGAATTATTACCATGTGTGGTATAAGCTGGCCAAGCTTTCTGCTCCATTGTAATTGGACCCAATTGAACCCACTTTTTTTCTTATCGTCAGGACCCGAAACCTACTTAATTGCTAGTATAATTTTATTATTACAAACATTAAGCTCATAGAATGCATGTATATAATAATAGATTTCTAGCTATAGTAATAAACCTGCATGCTTTTCTTCGAAATGATTATATTTGCTTGGGGCTAATGATATGTTCCGATTCTTTACTCCAAACTTGAAAATCTAAATAATAATAATAGTAGTAAAGAAGGATGTTTCAATACTTATCCTATATCTAGTAGCACATGGAAGCCCGGCGTTGGCCCCCTTACAAAACCCTTGCCTTAATTTTTTTTAAACCCAAATGCTGCATGGGAAAATATCCTCTAGTCCAAAAGCATAAGCTTTATGCCACCCTAGCTTTTAAGGCCTTCTTTTTGGAAGCTTCGCTCACCTCCTTAAAACACATGCACGCTCTTTCAGAAGGTGTCTAATTAGTTAAGGTAGTACTAAGTCACATCCATCTTTCACAAGTTCTGAACACAGAATTCACTGAACCTGTACCGATACATGGTTTCACAAGAAAATATAGAAATCAAAGAAAGCTAAGGGCTTAATCAAGGACTTGCATTTCAGTCTAAAAATAACTGACGCCCACTGAACCTCAAATCCACCAGCTGCATCGTCTGCATGATGACTTGAAAATAATTGAGCTTGCTTTACAACCCATCACCAGCTATATTGTTCTACTTCATATATATATATATATATATATATATATATATATACACATACACACACATACACACACCTAGCTACGTACTCTTAAGAAAAAATCCATATCACATGCATTGGAACTGTCCTTTGGGTAGCCACAAGCCTGAATTTTGCTTCTAATTAGCAACATTCACTACTACTGCATTTGATGAACAACTTTAACACAATTATTCAAGGATATGTCCGTTGATTATGCATTTCCTTGCTCCTTTTAACTTCATTTAACACACGTGCCACTTACGGCTTCAATCATAGCCAGAAAAGTATAACCTAAAGCATATAATAGAGATTAAAGCATGCAAAGCAGAAGTTCCCCTACTCTTCCAGCAGTGCGCATGCACCCTTAAAAAGCCGGAAGCATCAATGTCACCTTCTTTGTTTTACATGAATCGGACGTGATAATTAATTTTCTCTTTAACCTATCCAATTGACCAACGAAGTACAATGCAAAAGAGAATAACGAGTTTCTGTAAATTCAAACTCAGTGATGGTAGTGGAAAAGAAAGTGCAAAACCTTCAGTGGAAAGTAAATGAGGCCCAACAAAAAACAAAAGCACCTAAATTATAAATGCACACATTCTTAACCAGCCATGGCTTTTTCGTAAAGTAACCCTTTCATGCAAAAACAATTGAAAAAAAAGTAGAATCTCTTGAGTCCCACCAAAATATCCTCCTCTACTTTTTCCCCCACCATATAACTCGTTGTTGCCACGCTGCTGTATGTTCAGTCGGACGTGAGCGTTTAGCTAAATCCTCTAAGATCTCCGTCTTGGTTGCTTCCTTCCAAAAATCCTCTCTAAACAAACTTTAATTCTTGAATAGAATATCTGAGGATGGACACAGTTAAGGCAGAGAAGGTTCAAGCAATGAACAAGTATAGGAAAAGAGATCAGTTTCTTTACAACCTCATTCTTCATTTGCTGGCTGGATTAGCTTGTAGTTTGTTTTTCTCCTATGCTTATTGGTTTCCATCTCTATGTTCATCCATGAAGCATTTCTTCTTAATCTCTCTCCCATGTATTTGGTCTTCTTTCTCTAATCCCAAGTGCTTGTTCGTTGTGGTCAATGTCATTGTCATCTTCCTTGTTGGAGAATCAAGGTTTACGGGCAAAAACTCATCTCCAGCTGGTGACATCTACAATGAGTATATCGAAAGAAGTCGAAGCCTTAGGAAAGTCCCAGTCTCGACAACTCAAGAGAAGACGAGGCAGAAGAAAATGGTAGAAGAAGGGGAAAAAGATGCTGAATCGAAACAAGTAGTAAACAGGGGTGATGATAAGGGAGTGGAAGAAGAAGATGAAGAATTAGCTGAAGCGAAAGAAGTGATGAAGCCGGATGAAAAAGAAGAGAAAGAAGAAGAAAAAGAAGCTGAAGCGAAAAAGCAAGATAGAGTAGTCCAAGAAACATATGGAGTTGTGGAAGAAGAAGGTTCTGAAGAAAAAGAAAATGATATTGTTGAAGAAGAGGCTGGATTGCCAGCTGAGGAACTAAATAAAAGAGTTGAAGAGTTTATCGCTAGAGTTAACAAACAAAGGTGGCTGGAAGCTCAATTAGTCGTGTGTTGCAGGGCATGATTAGGATTTAAGGGTAAAATAATTGCAAATTTATTGGTTTAATTTTCTGATATATTTATAGTAGGGACAAGATATATTTGTGTAGCAAAGATGAAGAAAAGCTGGGTAGACAAATGACCTCTTCATAAGTTTGTAAAACATATTAAGCACAAGTGGTAGTTGAAGTAACAAGCACTTGCAGTTGTTACATATTTGCACATGAATCCTCTTTTCCATTTCTTTCTTTGTACTGGTATTCTTCCACATTCTCTGGCCTATAATGAACCTACACTGCATTCAAAGATCCAGTCATTGATCGATTCAGTGACAAAATAAAATAAATAAATAAAGGGAAGAGAAGGTACAATTTGTTGAGGACTTGAAAACGGGTCGGCAAGAAAACCAGACAAGACAAAAGGTAGCCAGACGAAAAAAGTCATTTCCATCAATGAATTGACAAAGTCCAGCTAAATTACAACAAGAATGGCACTATTCCAGCTTGGATGAAATAGCAACTTAGACGCTACAAGCACCCTCACTAACTCAACCACAACGAAAGGAGCCGCCAAAACCCCTACCAAAATACTAAGGCTTGCTCAAAGTGCAGGCATCATACCTGCAAACTCAATGTCAATGATAACCAATTCTAGATAATGTTAATAAAAAAAAATTGAGGAGAATGCTATGCAATGAAATTCTCACAGAAAAAGAAACTGGAGAACTACATTGCATGCAAAACATTGAGGAGGGAAAAAATGAACTAATTCTATTCCATCTCTAAGCCACAAAACTGTAGGACTCAATGCCCTCAGAGTACAAGAGCAACTTTCTCATGGGAAACATGTGAAGAAGCATGGGCAACTAAGGGTTCATAATGATCAGCTCCAGCACCACACCAACCTACACATCAGGGGAAATTTAAATATGTAAACTTGCATTCTGATAAAAAATTCTTTTCAGTAAGCACCACCAAAAGTTCAATTACCTGTTCCTTTCATGAACAGAAAAAAGGGAGGTTCACAAATTTCACTCCTTGGACGGTGTGGAAGGAAGAAAACACAACTGTCCTCGTCAACCATAGCATCTGATCCATGCGCTTGCAACTGTAACAAATGAGTTAACATAATAAAGCTCAATCAAATATAAAAGTTGAATACTGAAGTTTATAAAGAACAAGAACATTCATTAGTGCCTATTCCATTGCATACGCATTAAGCTGCATCACTTTACCCCCTTTTTTCTCCCTTACCCTTTTCAGTCTAAATCATCAATCAAATACACAAGCTTCCTTCTGATACACACGTATGGTAACTGATCATAACACATGATAAAGTTTTTCTACTTCCTTGGTGATGACAATTATGGTCACCCAAAATAGTTGGGTCTGTGCTAGTTTGATCAATGACTACAGTATACCAGGAGAAAGGCCAGAGGATATGCATCTGAGATGGACTATTAGTACTTAGAAATGTTAGAGCATGCATTCCTATATAATATGGTATGTGAAACAGATAGTATTTGTAAATGACCAATCCATGAACCTAGAATGAGGCCTTAATCAGACAATCTGAGTTTAAAAATGCTTGTAGGTATCCCCAGTTTGGTGCCATATATTAACAACTATTTTCATCCTGGCCAAAACAAAGTTGTGCAATCCTGAATTCTCCATTGCAAAAACATCTTAGTATCAGAATTCATGGAATACTGCTGTATTGATGGATTACAACATCAACATGAGATTACGAATCTAAAGGACTATTGCTTAAAATACACAACTAATGTTATGAAACAATAGGCTTTGAAAATATCAAACAAATATGCAATGCATTGAAGACATGAAAAATTGACATATCACTTAAGATTTGAATCTATTTCTCTGAATTTACAAGAAGCAATAAGATCAGCAAAATTGAAATATATATTAATCCGATAATTATGATAAAAGCCAAAGCTTCTCTCCTCACCACATATATCTCTCGCTTGAACTCTGTTGCAAGACATTCGATGGCAATGTCATCTCCGAATGCAGCAGCATGACCTTCTCTATTCTCATCTACAGATAATAAACCCTCCTCAGTATACTGCAAAGTGATGATATCATATGCATCATCAGGTGAACCAGAAATCGACATGTATTTGGCCCAGCTTGAGCCATCACTCACAGGAATACATCTCTCTTTGTAAATAGATTCGGCCGCCATTTCTCTTCAATCAGAAAAAAAAGTAGATAATAAAGAAACAGATAAAACACAGCACTAGGGCAACAATCTAAATCACCATATAAATATTCCCCATTAAGTTTAATGCCATGTATATGTCGAAATATGTGTTAAATTTTTTTAAATATAAGATGCAGCTAGTCGCGAGAATTTTTTTTTTTTTTTGTTTTTAGATTTTGAATTAAATTCTTTTTCTGTCTTCCGTGCAAAAATGAAATGTAAATACTAAATGTCAACTAAAATTTGCGAGTCCATAATCTGAGATAAAATTTTCCCCAATAAAAAGGAAATTATAGATAGAAAATTCCGTTCTCGCCTTTTCTTGAGTCTTCGACAGAGAAATGGAAATTTAAAAGTTTAAAAATTTTGATTCCCCATTCTGTCTTTCCCTACATTTTCCCAGGAACCCAATTGTTAACATTTGAAAAGAACTAAATCCTCAAACAGTCAAACTATAATCAGACAAATAGATCAAAGAACAAAAAAAGAAAAAAAAAACAGAAAGCATACCTTTGCATTCCAAGCTGAACAAGCTCGTCAATGGCGGAGTCCAAGGCAACGCGATCCTCCTTCTTGGCCAACAACTTAACTTCTTGAACCACGTGAACCCCCCACCCGCTCCTCAGATCCGGCGAGTACATATTCCTAATCGCCTCATATATCACTTGCCTCTCTTCTTCCTTAGCAGATCCAAGATCCTCCAAGAACCGCTTCACCGTCCGCCTCCTCAGCTCCCGCGCGTCCACATCACGCGCCATCGCTTTCTGTGAGGCGGTGAACAGGCAGTTCCCATCCGCGGACACATCGCCTCCATGTGACAGCCGGAACACCACCGAGGAGCCGTGCTCCTGCGGATGCTTCCATAGCACTCCCTTGGCGTGAAGCTTCTTTAGATGCCGTCTCTGCTGGTCCTCTAGGCCAATTACGTCTTCCCACGAGGCACCCACGGTGACTATGGTGGTTGTGGTCTGGTCAACTAGATCAACGGCTTCAAGAGTCGCCGCGTTTGGTTCCCTCCAAGGGACCGTCGGCGATGACGTTTGAAATGTCTCCACAACGGTCGTCGAATCGAAGAGAAGTTTCCCCATTTTCGAGTTTCTCTGTTTCTTCTTTTATTTGAATATTCGTTTTCCTCTTGTCTTTTCTCTTCTCCTCTTCTTCTTCTTCTTCTTCGATGGAAGAGTTACAGAGAAGAGAGAGAAACGAAAAGGGGTGAGAGAGTTTAGGGTTAACGGATAGATGTACGACGCGGGAGAGAAATGATGGCACGTGGCGAAATCAGGGAGATTTAGAAACTGAAGGGCAGTGGTCTCTGACCGCGCGAGAGAGATGCTAACGTAAGCTGGTGGACCATTAGAATCAAACCTGCGCCAGGTATTTTTATCATATTTTCTTTTTTTTTTCTTGAAAAAAGAAATGAACAAAACTTTCTTTAATCTACCCACTAGACGTTAGTGTTAATTGGCATATGCGCTACTTTGCCCCTCGGTAGGAGAGCCAGGATGCCTCTCGGATTGTCCGGTGATGTCCAGTTCCCAATAAGATTCAAACACATCATCATTATGTTGGGCCCACAAACGAGGCTCATCCAATGAATTAACGGAACTTGGGTTTAGGATCCCACGTGTGGATGCTGTCTGAAAGGGAAGATTTCTTTTGCGTGTGGCTTTGGTTGTCTGTGGGATGGGCTAGAATGGTAATTTCAGTACTGAGTTGTAGGAAATTATGACGTGGCACTAATTGTAACGGCTAATTAAACATGACTGCAGGCTCTAACGGCTCTTTTGCTAGGTTTTAGCACTCTACTTAATCACGCTTAAATGGTAGTGGTAAAGACTGAAAGAGCCAGTAAAATAGTTGTGGATAAGGAGAGAGAAAGTCATGATTGAGAATTTACGATCTCCTAATTGACTTTGGCCAACGAACCAATTAGAGCATGAAAATTAGTTACCATTTTTTTTTTGTTTGAGGCAAATGTGTTTTCAAAAATTAAAAGCAAAGTCTTTTCAACAACGTGAGAAATGAAAATGACGGAAATCTGGATTGAAAGAAGATTTTAAGTACCAAAATAATGACATTTTTGTTTTCTTTTAGAAGCTTCTAGAAACAACATGGTATAGACCACCTTCGGTAATACAATACCACTATTGGCTAGTGGGATTGATGGCTCCCCCGTGAGCACCTCACTTCAATTGCAATATCTAGTTAAACCCGTTAGGCCCTCATTCCAATTGCAATGTATACCTAAAAGTGTGAGATTCATAATGACAATATATTTTTAAATATTTAATTTTACTTTAATACACAATTAATATGAAATTAATAATCCTTTCTAAAATCATAAGATCTTCTTTAATGTGAGATTTATGACTGCTTCTTATGACATTTATATTAAAATATTGATACTTAATTAGAATTAAATTATGTGACATTCACAATTTTATAATATAAAAATTCTCTTCTTATAACACTTGCTAAGTAATAGTTGACCACACAAAGTATTTGATTATGTTAATGTTGCTTCCGACCTAAAGATGGATGAAGTAAAAGGAAAAAGATATGAAATTTTTTATAGAATCATTTTGGTAGTGTTTGGTACAAGAAAAGTGAGAACACATTCTTTATAATGTGCTCAATTAAATTATATTACAGTATTTATTTTACAACATACCACTGTAATGTAAGATTACAATGCAATCACATTACAGTCAAGGGATGTAATGTAATTGCAGTCCAAAACCAATGCAATCACATTACATTGCACTATATAATATTCTTAAAAATATTTTTACTTTTCAACTTTATTACCTTATCAAAAATATTTTATAATGTTTTAATTAAAATAAAAAATATTAACATAAAATATATAATATAAGAATAAAAAATTAAAATAAAATAAAATATAAAAAATTAAAATTTATATAATATAAGTAAAATAAATTAAAATAAAATATATAATATTAAAAATTATATTAAAGAAATGAAAATAAAATATATAAGATTATAATAATAAATAAAAATAAAATATATGATATTAAAAATATATTTAAGAGATGATATTATATAAAAATTAATAATAAAAAATATAAATATATTAAACTTATATTTTAATAACTATGAGTAATTTTAAAAATTAACATTGCATTCCCAGTAAAGTATTTGTAAACTAAATGCTGCAATGTTATCTTCTCTGCATTTTAATTATTATTTTGCTTGTATACTAAACACTATAATGTTATTTTTCTTATAATGGCATTGCTTGTAATCACATTACCTGCAATTACATTACCTGTAATCATATTGTATTGTAAAGTATCAAATGCCACCTTTATGTTTGCTTATAAATATTTCCAGTTATAACTATTTTCACAAATGATTTGGTTTTCTTATTCAAATATCAATTAATACTATGAATAGATAAATGAGATTTAAGGATCAATAGATGTGATTGGTTAAGAAAATATATGAAAATAATATCATCCAATATTCTTATATATTTATCATAAAATTGTGATAATTGATCAAATATGATTAGAGAGCATGTGAGATTACAAGATTTTCATCATAGAATATAAGTTTATTTATAAATTCATGCATCAGAAATTCGGTTTACATTATGGAGCATGAGAAAATATTTTCATCACTAAAAATTTGAGTGGGATAAATATGTTGTAGGGAATATTGTGGAGGATAATGGAATCTGATCTCTTCTTCTTTGCCCTTCTTGCCCGTTCCATTTGCCTTGTCGGTGGGCCCCTGAGCAACAATTTCTGCGTGCTTTCCAAATTGTTTGGTGATGGTTTCAACAAGTTTTGGTGGATCAAAATTTCCTCTAACAGTCACTGTCGAATTCTTCATATCCGGTTCAACATTTAAGATTCCTGATTAACACAATATAATAACTAATATTACTCTCTTTTTCACAATTAAACAAGAGCAAGAACTGAGTGGAAAACTAAAGAAACAGAGAGAGAGAGAGAGAGAAAGAGAGAGGTTACCTTTCATTCTTTCTATACTTCTCTTAATATCATTTGCACAGCCTTCACAGTGCATGTACATTTTAAGTACAACAAATTTAATTGGAGGCTGCAGAATTAAGTAAGATTAAAATTAATTAATCACATGAAAAAGTAAAAATAAAAGAATGCATAAATATCTATATATATATTATATCAAAATAGAGATTAATGGTAAACCCACCTCTTGTTTGTTTTGCGCCTGCTTTCTATCAGTGGCTTTGGGCTTTGGTTTGGGAGAAATGAGCTCAGCATTTCTACTATATTTCTTCTTAACTCTTTCCAAAATCTTCAAAGGATCAGCATTTTGTCCCTTCACAATCACTCTGTCACCGTTCATGTCCGTCTTAACTTGTTCAACGCCTAATCAATAAAAAAAGGCATGAAAACCTAATCAAAAGGGCTATCAGCTACGCCTACGCATATGGATATGCTTAAAAACACAAAACAAACATCATCCCTACCTTGAAAACCTTTCAAACAATGGAAAACCTTGGCAGCACATCCTTCACAATGCATATAAACTTTCAGCACAATTTCTTTCCCTTTATTTGAATCCTTTGCTCCCTTCTCTTGTTTATTTTCACAGCTTTTCTCGAGTTTCACTTCCACAATCTGCCCTCCTCCTCCCTGATGCTGTTGCCCATGTCCCATGTTTTGCTTATTTTTTTCCCTTAATTTAAAAACCCAAGGACCAAAAGAAAGAAAGAAAAACCCTTTAATACGGAAAATGCTAAAGGGAAAATCTAAGTAGTAGAGAGAAGCATTGTGAGGCATAGCATTGCCACTACTTGTTTAGCCAAATGGCGGGGGAGCTTTAAATACGATACTGGTGCCCTTTAAGTTTTTAGCTCTTTTACTCTCATGTCATTAGGAATAAATAAATAAGATAGGATGAAAACATAAAGCTCATTAATGGGTTGTATCTCAACCGTTCAATTATGCAAAAAAAAGAAAGAAATCATGTTATAATCTTTCCCAATTATGACTTACTATATATGATTATGCGTTAATAAATTATCCACAAATGAATAGTGTTTGTTTACATTTAGGTTTCGAATTTGGATTGTATGCAATTCAATTGTTAATTCCTTTTCTTTTCAAAGCAATCGGTTGGTGTGCCAGCTAATGTGAGTTGTTCAATCCATTGAATTGTGGTTTAATGCAATTTTATTCCATTAAGATTGTACACGGTGTCTGTATAATAATTTAGTTTATTCAAAATGAAAAAGAATATTCCTCTCATCTTCCTGGCTCAGCCCAATGATTAACTTTAGTGGTTAGCCCAAACCCATTGGCCTAGAGCTGAGCCAGCCTGGGTTTCAAGTTGGGCCATAGTTTTGGCTCAATTTGTATAGACGAGAACAAGTTTTATTTGACCAGAGTGACGGACACATAGGCGTAAACTGAAAACGTGTAAGAAAAGCAGCAATCCCACGTAAGATATGGCCACGTGTAAAGGCTAGAGCAGCAACACGTCCCCCGCTCTCTCTGTATTTGTAACGCAAAATCTCCGGTCTCTCTTTCTATCAATGATCATTTCTATTCTGAGGTTTTGATTGAATCGTTCGTCTTAGTAAGATCTCCTCTTCAATTATTTTTTTTCAACATTCTTAATGAGATCATTGTATATGTCTTGAATATGTGGTGCGTGATCAGTTTCTTAAGTTCTTCTAGGATTTTTGTTGTTGATATCATTCTTGCCTTCAATATAATCAAGAAATCTGTTGAATTCCCAATTTTGGCTTCTTTTCTTTCATCTATGTCGACAAGCTTTTCTTTAGTTATTGATAGAACACAAATTGCTCTCCTTCACTTTTATGGTACGGTAGTTTTCAGTATCTAAAAGTTGGCAGCAAGAGCTAACGGTTGGGAGAATTTTCACTTCCGATTAAGCTTATAGGATTCACGTTTTGGTTAGATTCGTTTCTTCTGTTATGTCTTCTTGTTTCCTTAAATGGTTACAGATTCTTTTGAAAAACAAAAAACAAAAAGTGGTTACAGATTACAATACAACAGCACATCCTGAATAACTCTGAAACAGAGTTTTTCGTCATTAAAATTGATCTCTCTCCTAAATTCTGGATTCTGTTTTTATCTCTGCTGGTTAATTATTAGTAATATGCTACAGACATTTTTGTTAATTGGGTAATTCAAGTGTCAACTTTGCTTAGCCCATACCAGATCAGGCCTTAATGCCCTCTACTTTATTCTTGAGCGATGATCCGAGCCTGTAAGATGCTGCTCTTGGATTCGGCTAGCAAGAAGATGACATCTTGCCATGAGATTAATGTGGTTGTGTGTGAACATTGAATTTGCCTTTCTCGTTTCAGTGGAGCTCAACTCAAGTCTGAAACTCTGAACATTCGTATTAGCATTTTCGTTTTTAGATAAATCAGTTGAAAATATCTATTGCATCTCTTCGTTTTTTCTCACACAATGATGCTTGTTTCTGCAATAACGGTTCCTTCTTTGTCAGGTTCCCAAGTGCCGGGAAATTTACTTCACTTAAGAGCAGTCTGGGTTTGGCAGTGAAAACAACTAGAACACCCAAAGCATTTTGAGTTCAAAAGTAAAAATGTCCGGTGTAACTCTTGCTGTGGCTCCAAGAAGTGAGCCAGACAAAGCCATAGCACCAGGGGAAAAACTCGAACATAAACCTCTTCGCCAGCAGCAGCAACAATCAGTGGCGGGCGGTCTAATGGGATCATTGCGTGTGATTGAACTCCAACTAGTAGCTTTCATTATGGTTTTTTCAATTAGTGGCCTTGTCCCACTCCTTGATTTGGTCTTCCCAGCTTTTGCCTCCACCTATATAATCGCCCTTTCACGCTTTGCCTTCCCATCCCACCGCCGCATATCCACTGGCTCGCAAGAGATTTTCCAAGGCAGCAAACTCTTTAGGCTCTATGTGATTCTTGGAACTACCGTAGGGCTTTTCTTGCCACTGGCATATGTCCTGGGCGGCTTTGCGAGGGGTGATAAGCATGCTGTTCGATCAGCTACGCCTCACTTGTTCTTGCTTTCATTTCAAATACTAACAGAAAATGTGATAAGCGGGCTGTCTTTATTTTCACCGCCGGTGAGGGCACTTGTTCCTTTACTTTATACAGTTAGGAGGATTTTTGTTGTCATTGACTGGATGCATGACGTTTGGCTCAACAAAACTCTGCCCGCAAATGCACCACTCAGGGTAATTCTCAACCAAATTAATATTTCTGGTTTCAGGTAATTGGCAATTGTCAATTTTCATGCCAGCGTGCTTTGAAAATGTTTAACATAATCTACGATTGATTGTGCAGGACATTGCATGGGATTGGTTTGGGAAGGGCCTGGCAGCTGCAAATCTATTTTACTTCTCTATCAATCTCTTGTGCTTTTTGATTCCTCGATTCCTGCCTCGGGCATTTGAGAGGTACTTTAGGGAAAGGGATGAGGTCGATGCTAAGATGTCAGAGGACAAGCGTTCTACGGCAGCAAAAAAGTCCCAGGCAACAGATAAGAAAATCGATTGAGTCGGTTGAACCTGTTCTCGTGTGTTCATACAGCTAGTATTGAAAAGCAATTGTATTCCTTTTTCTGCTGCATCTAAACAGTCGTCCCCTTTCTAGCCTTTTGACAATGACAATTAATGTTAGACTTATTTCTCTCGCTTATTTGGTTATCTACCTTGGATCAATCGTGAATCTTTCTTTGCTTAGTATAATACTATTTTTCCTTTGAAGAAAATAAAATGATTATCTCGTTTTGTTAAATCAAAAATAAATTACAATACGAATAGAAACAATAACTTAGTTCATAAACGTTGAGATTTTGGGTTTTGTTAAAAAAAGCTGAAAGATTCTATTAACTTGTAATATTTCAGTTTTCCTATTAAGCTTTCCCATTCCAATGGAAAGAAAAATTTGGTTTTCATCTTTTCATTTTTCTCCTCCTCTAGTTTTTTCATCTTTGTTCCTGGTTGAGAATAATGTAGCATTACACCTCCCAAGTCCTAAGTTTATGTTGGAAGCTTCGAATCTTTGGGAAAGGATTCAAATAGAAAAAGAAACACAAAAGCAGATGATTAATAATAATCTTTAGGATGTTTGTTAGCAATAGAAGAAATATGGATCCATGGGTTAGTAATGGCCTTGCGGCGGCAAACACAATGACATTAATTTGTTTCTCTTTTCTTGGACAATATCACATCTAGATGTAACTTGTACCTAGAATTCTATCATCTCTGTTAAATCGTTTCATGCTCTTGTTTTTTCATGAATACTTGTAGTAATCCAAGGACGGAATATTGTCACTTTCTAAAGCAAGGCAAATCAAATTTTGATATAGTTAAATAATTTACTCACTCTTCATATTCCCCTATCTGGAAAAACCCTGTTCGGAAGCAAGAGCTTTGATGGAGACAATAGGCATTTGATCAGTAGAGGAACACATAGCTAAGAAGTACATGTCATTGGTAACATTTTTTCCAACAACGTGAAATGTGTTAGGCACGAGCATGAAAAACATGATTGACTGACTGACTGCCATATATGTGGCACTCACATTGTACAGAATCCAAGCTACTGACATGTCGACAAAGGCATCAAGATTACGAAGAATTTGAGAAGCGAACAAAACGCAGCCACATTGTATTCGACTCAGCATTGGAATGAGAAATTGTTGGCTTCTTTTCATTCGGGAGCATAGCTTTATAGTGGAAAGATAATTGTTTGGACAACCAATCCAATTGAATTGAGCAACGGAAAAAATAATTACAAAAACGTACGTTAAAACCCAAGGCATAAAATTGTATAGGGAGAGAGAGCCAAGGCAAAAGGTGAGAGCAAAACAATTTTGAGCAACCTTAATGCCTACATGCCCTCGAGCTGGGCAGTCCTGTTAGGTACCTCAAATTACACCTTTTGGGTTCCCTTGCTTTTTGGTCGGTTGGTTAGTCCTCATCCAAGTTGCTCAGAAAAGGACTGTTTTGCCCTTATAAATTTAATACTAAGGAGTCGTAATTTGCTTGTAGTGCACATTTTCCACGTCGAAAGTGTAAGGTGCTATGCCCAAAAGTGGTGCGGACCAAACTCTGTGCGCCACTCGTCAATGGCCAGTTCCCTCTTTGCTCGTTTTGTTATAAAAGCTAATGAATTTTGTTTATTATTATTATTATATTTTCACTAATTAGATTACAAGTAGAATTATTGTAAAATTGAAAGAAAAAAGGTAGAATGGAACATGGAATTCCGGTATGGTACATTTTTAACTATACCATTCTTCTTTTAGCATTAACACAAGGAAAAGATTAAGTTATATTTTAATTGTTTTAATGCTGTTTTTGAAGCATTTGTCACATATCCAACATGATAGTTTTCCTTATCAGATTAAAACAGGCTTTCTAACAATGTCAATTCCTCCCCCTCTACTTTTTGCTGCTTTTGCTTTGCAAGTGACCAGCACGCGCCAAAAAGCAGGGGAGTGCAACAGATATTGGCGTTATTTAACCTGGAAAATAAGGAACCGCTGACCTCTCGGCCCGACGACGTACCTTCTTTTCTGCCTTGTCTGCCAAGTAATTATAATATAATATTCAAATTACTTAAATAAAGAAAAACAACATTTCCATTTTATTTTCTTTTAAGAAAAAAGGAAAACACCTAACCGCTGGATCTCCTCTTCCTCCCTTCTCAGTCTCTCTCTCTCTCTCTCTCTCTCTCTCTCTCTCTCTTATCCCAGAAAAGTCCTCACTTTAATCCCTCGCCCACTTTTTTCCCCTTCTTTTACACCCCCAACCAAGCCTCAAGGAGAAACGAAAGCAACCATGAAGCTCAA